GGGCCCGGGAGGGAGGGACGGAGGGAAGAGTCCTACAGCTCTTCCCTCCTCGGCTTCAGAGGGGGTTGGTCTGGTAGCGAAGGGACTGTAGAGCAAGAGTCCTTCCCCCCCTCCCCCCCATCTGTTATAAGCAGTAGGGCACCACAGACCTGTCAGTACACAAGCACAGCCCGAAGCTTCTCTCTCGGTCTCATCAGCGCTGGTTTCCGTTTGTAAATAAACCCTCCATCCTCTGAGGAGCACAAAGGCACTGGCAGGCGCCAGGCTGAGTGAAAGATCTCCCCATCTCCTTGGCCCTGCTGCTGCCGTTGTTTGAAATCTGCCCTAATCCCCTAAACACATCCCATAGGAAGCAGTGAGGATCCTTTGTGCAAAGCTCCCAGCTTGTCACAGACACACAAAGGCTACCAGTGCTGGAGATGACACAGGGTTTGGGTGAGATGAAGTTTTCCAAGGAGAAAGCGAGAGAGAGGCAGAAAGCTCAACCCCTTTTTAATTAGCCATTCTAGTCACTGCTTGTTTTGCAGAAACTTATTTTAGGCTGTGGCAGTGGGATTTGCCTCCTGCTGTTATGCCCCAGGGGAAAGAGACAGCCCAACTTGTTTGCAGATGTGCTCAATCCATTCAGCTAAAATCAGAGAATTCAATCGCTGTTGGGATGGAAAAAAAAAAAAGAAGAAGAGAGGAAAGAAAGCTAAAAAAAAATCTCACAATACTCACTGTTTCCTCTGCTCCCCTTTAAATACTGAGGCATGCACAAACTATCACTGGACAGAAAGCATGCATCTCTATTTCAGGGTAACTTTCTAAACATCCTCTCCAACCCTTGCAAGAAGCCAGTTGATCTGAAACAACAAATGTGACTTTTAGAGAACAATCAAATTAAATAATCAAAGTTGCTTTATTTTCCTGTCATTTCAGTGAATTTCTGACTAAATTTCATTTTTGAAACAATTTCTCAATTTTAATGTATTCCCCCTGGTTCCTAAGATCATCATCCTTTATCTCAGAAAGGGTTCTTCTCCAAGTCAACATTTGGCTTTTTGGAGTATCACTCTGGCAAAGATGAGTTTTCTTTAGTTTTTCTTTTTATCTTATAAAATCCCATTACCAGCCTTGAAATACACGAAAAGGTTGGTCTGAAGTCTCACGCCTGCTCCAGATCTGTGGCTGAAAGCTGGATTGACTTGTCTGTGAGGCATGTGCATCAGCAAAGTGGCACAGATACCCTTGTGCCCTTTGCTCTGTCTGCAGGCATCCGGAAGCCCTGTATCTGTTGCAGTTCCATCAGCGAGGAACGTCACTATCCCAAAGCTAAATCAAATCATAGCTATGGCCTTTTAAATGCTAACATACTCAGCTCTGGAAGAGCAGGTTGAGGGGGGCGAGGTGAGAGCAATAACGACCTTACGTTACATGCAATAATAACAGCTAATCTCGAACAGAAGATATAGACCCAGATTCTGGACATTTTCTTTAATTCAGCCTTAATCAATTTCTCATTTCCTTTCCTGGCTGCACGTAACGTGAAGCACGGTGATGATTTTCCCAGGCACTCCGAAGTCTGACAAGCTGAGTTCTCCCTGGAAATCCCATAAGCAATTCTGAAATGACTCAAGCTGAAATACCGCACCTGATGTCTAAAAGGTTTGAAAGGCATTGACTGTAGCTATAAAATCAGAGCCTAATTTTGATTTCCTCTGTTCCTTGGAATGAGAGAATGCCCCAGCATGACACAGATGCCCCTATTCGGCTCCAAGGATTTATGAGTGTAAGAGACCTGCTGCGCCTGTAACAGGTTTTGGACAGTCAGAAGAGTTGGAACAAGGTTGATACCACTGGCAGCAAAAGCCTCAGCAAAGCCTTGTCTAAACAGGACAATTTTGCACCAGAGTGACTAGCAGCACAAAAGATAGAGCAACAGAGAATCAGGTGCTGGGTTTAGAAAGCAAAACATTTGTATTTTGGGGATTTCAGATCTGGTTCTGTCCCAAATCACATATTATAGGAAAACAAAGCTGAACAACAGTCCTGCGGAACGGGTTGCCTCCGATATTCTCTCAGACAGAAGCTGTTGGCAGCTGTACTTCAGAGAAAGCACAGCAGCTCTCAGCTGCTAGTTGATGCAAATTGGAAACCCAGGCAGTTTTCCCTCACTGTTTTCTTACGTCAGCTCCTCCAAAGCAAGGACGTCTCATTTTATAAAAAAGTAGCAGCCAGTGCCCCAGCTGCAGCCCCTGAGCACGTATCCCCTGATGCCCCAGACCCATCATTCTCCACTGCTCAGCCCAGATGGGTATGTCCTGCACTGGCACCAAAGTGTGAGCTGTCCCTCCTTCCTCGAGGCGTGAGGGCTAGCAGAGGCTCCCTGTTTGCTCTGCATTTTAGCAGACCTTGTGCCACTTCAAGCCAATAAAGCCTGTTTTAATTTGATCCAGTTACCAGCCTGCCCCTGGTCCCTTTCAGCACAGCAACATGGTTTGCAAGCATGCCCTGCTTATTTATTTAGTTGAACTCACTTAATCTTCTAATTTACACATTGTGATTCTCAGCCTCTCTTCGGGCTTGGAAAACACATGTGCTAAGCCGTGTGTCTCAGCGCGAGTCAGCGCTCTGGAAGCCGTTAACGCGCCCTGAGAGAAAGGCACGAGCGAACACACGTACCTCGCGACGTGCCCTGAAGACGAGAGGGCAGCGCGCGGGTGAGGGGAGGCGATGTGCAATGACGAAGCGCCCCTTCGCAGCGCACGGCCTCTCCCCCGTCCTGAAACGTGGTGCTACTCAACTCGGGCAGCTGGGCCACCTCGGGCTCCTTGTCCCTGCAGTGTTACAACACACCGCGGGCTGAGGCCCTGGCTCGGGGTGCTGGCGCTTGGGGGGTGGCGGGGGAAGCTCGGTGCTTCACACCCTTGCCCCTGGGGCGTCGAGCGGCCGGCCCAGCTCCGT